ACTGTCTGGTATGGCTCTGCAACCCAACAAGGCAGACACAGACTTCAGAGGATAATCAGACTGCAGAAAGAACAATTACTGTCAACCTGCCTTCTATTGAGGCACTGCACGAGTCCAAAAGAGGGCCGTGAAAATATTTACAGACCCCTCACCTCCTGGACATAAATTGTTTCAACTCCTACCCACAAAATGACGCTATAGAGCACTGCACACCAAGACAAGTAGACACAAGGACAGTTTTCCCCCGATCGCCATCACTCTGCTAAACAAATAATTCCCTCAACACTGTCAAACTATTTACTAAGTCTGCATCACTATTACTATATTAGTCTTCTCATCGTTCCTATCACCCATCTCCTCCCACTTATGACTGCATGACTGTAACTTTGTTGCTTGTATCCTTACGATTTATATTGATATTATTTCCTAGTATGATTTGATTGCTTATTTATACCCTATGACTATCATTAAGTGTTGTACCTTATGATTCATGACAAATGTATCTTGTCTTTTATGTGCACCAAAGACAAATTCCTTCTGTGTCCAATCACACTTGGCCAATAAAGAATTCTATTCTATTCTATTCTATTCTATTCTATCTTCTAATCTAAAGCATCCAGACTGAGAATCTTCTGTTATTTTCATCTCAAATTCTTTCACCTTATCCATATCTATTATGAAGCTATTTTCTTCACCACTTGGTTTCGCACCTGGTATCTGGGAAGGGCTTTTTGATAATTCAAGCCCTGATTTTTCCTTCCGGCTCTTTCTTTTGCATTTGCGATCTTCATTGTTTCGTTTCCGTTTGCCTTCTTTCTGAACTTCAACTGTGATTGTTTCAGAATTAACAGATTCACATTTATTTACTGGTTACAGAGAGAGAAAAACAGCAAGATGTCATATCTCTGTGCATTTCTAGCATCAATATTTAACCTAACCAAAAGATAATAGGACTATAGTCTTAAATATTGTATAGTTCTGTGCATATTTTAGCGTTCTCTTTCAGCTACCTGTGCTCTCAAAATGAATCTATTGAGAATTAGGTGAATCCCCCAGGACTGTCTAATATCAATTTTTCTGGAGAATATATTTCCCTCAATTAAAGATTTTACTTCTCAGTAAATCCATATATTTTGCATTATCTACACAATAACTTTAATTACACATAGTGACAACCTTGTTTATTGTTTTCAGGAGGAGCTTGTTTTTTCCAAAGTAGATCAAAAAATGGTTTCACTGGAAACTGAGCATTGAAAGATTGAATCTCTTCCAACAAAACATCCCTCTGCGTTTTGGAAAATACTGGTCGCCATCCAGATGGCTGCAAATAAAAAAAACATATATTGCTTGCATACTGAATATTTCTGGTAATTAACAATTGTTTGAAAAGAACACAATAGTCTCTAGAAACTATGTAGTATATGTGGTAATAAAATTCACTTCAACAATAAAAAATTTCACATAAAATTTGTTCACATGCATCATTCATATACAACTTTAAGTCATGATTCCTATGAATTTTGATTCATCATTCTTGGTTAAATGTAATCCTTTGGAAAGGAATGACTGATATTTTCCTTCCTTCCTTCCTTCCTCCCTCGCTCCCTCCCTCTCTCTGTATTTTCTCTTGCTATCTTTGGTCTTATGCTGTTTTTGTCTTTTTTATACTGTTCTTTATTTTTAAACGTTTTAGCAATTGGTAAGGTGCCCAACAGTCATTAACAGTTAGGCATCATATAACTTTAATTTTTGTGCTGCTGCTGTTATATTATTATTGTTGGTATCCTTGGATTGGTGACATTGTTCTTTCAAGAGTCAGGCATTGGAATTTCATTTTAATGTGTGCTGATTTGTATACAGATAAATGACAATGAAAGTTATTTTACCTTAATTTAATAAATGCCATTCCATATAATGGTTCCACCACAAAACCGCGGAGGAGAAAATCGCGCTCGACGAAAGCGCGCATTTGACGTCATCACAGCGCGACGAAAACATCGCACTGTGATGGAAAAATGTAAAAAAAAAAGCGAAAACCTTACCCTAACCCCCCCAAACCTAACCCTAAACCTAACCCTAAACCTAACCCTAAACCTAACCCTAAACCTAACCNAATGGTGTATGAATTATTTGTGTTGTTATTACAAGCGTTGCTGTGACCCCCTAGGAAAAGGTTATGCCCCGCCCTGTATTGTATTGTATCTACATTCTGAATTAATAAATATAAAAATATATTAATAATAATTAAATATGTTGTAAGCCACCCAAAGTCACTATGTGAGAGCTGGGTAGCCATATATTTAGCAATTAATTAATTTTTAAAAACTGAGACAGACTTTGTCCTTTTTCCTTTATTCAGGATAGTAGCAGAGAGAATAGGACTTGCATTTAATATTACCTCTTCAAAAAGAATAAGAGAAGTTGCACATTTATTACTGGATTCTTCTTCCTTGTTTCTCCTTTCTCCTGATTTTAACTCTGGTTTCTTTTCAGTTAAGCTTTTCCTATTTTCTGTGTGAAGAAAAAAGTACAATCTGATTTGTATCAGAAAGGAAAAAAAGTAATGCAATACTGGGATGTAAAATTTCCTTAAAATATGTCAACAAAATTATGGCTCCCTTGCATTGAAAGCTTAATTTTACAATGACATATAATACAATTGTGGATAGTTAGATTAGGTGGACTTACAACAGTTCATTTAGTGACTGTTCACAGTTACAAGAAACCTGAGAAAAGTGACTTAGGACCATTTTTCAAACTTATGACCATTGCAGCATTTCCATAGTTAGGTGATCAAAATTCTGAAACTTGGCAATTGACTCATATATAAAATATATATACATACATATTATAAAAAGTTTTTTATTAGATAAACATTAAAAACATTGGACATAGTGGGACATTTCTGGCATAAATGTTTCCATATAGTGATTAGATCTTTCAACAATTACATTTTATATCCATTACATAGGTCTATGTAGTCAGTCAGTTGATCCTTTCTTTTATGTAATTATTACCGTATTTTTCAGAGTATAAGACGCACCTTTTCCCCTCAAAAAAGAGGCTGAAAATCTGGGTGCATCTTACACACTTAATAGAGCATTTTTTGCCTCCCAAAATCTCGCCCCTTCACTAAAATGGCCTTGCATAGCCTCTAGGAAGCTTTTAGAGAGCTCCTGGGGACTAGGGAAGGCAGAATTGAGCAAAAAAGGTGGAACAATGGGACAAAACTCACTTAAAATATGTTCATTTTAGCCACAGGAATTTTGGGCTTAATTGTGGCCGTACATTGAGGACTACCTATACAGAAACTGACAATATATAGTAGCTGAAGAAAACAAATGGCAGCAGGGATATGTTATACCTCATACAGGTCAACAGCAGGAAATCTAACTCGTAAGGCAACACAAATATTTATTTATTTTTTCATTTAATTAGTTTCAGGGACAGGGTGACTTCCAGAACACTATGGGTATATGATTAAATGGATCTTTGGGGAATATTGTTCCAGAAGACAGAGACTGCGAAAGAGGGAAAGTCTGCTTTCTGGATCCCTTTAAATGGAATTGTTCAATCAAAGAAACAGCAGTATTCAATCTTGCATAGACACTTGGCATTGAGTTGGAAAAAAAAAAGATTGGGAATTTCACCTGAGATATGAAGGCTGCCAAATCTTGCAAGATTTTGACACTCTGACTGACATCTTGCTTATGTCAGGTGAGAATACTGATGATTTTAGCCATATTTTTTTAAAAAATATTTGTAAGTTCAGCGTTGATGCTTTTTGTGCACCAAGTAGGGATGTCAGGAATTTTCTGTTGCCAACCCAAGAGAAGTAGAACAGTTTCGTGGCTGGTTTTTAAGTGCAGCCCCCCTACATAGCAAATTATACACAACATCTACAAGGCTTCAAATACAGGTTTTAATTCTGTTTAAGAAGAAAAAAAAAAGGACAGAGAAATCGTATTTCCCTCATACCCAAAGATCACATGCTACAAGTTCTCAACCTCCATAGCAGCTAACAGATCACTCATTGTACCTAATTCAATTTTTTTACAAAGCAAATTAGCGCACTCAGTACTTTATTTCTAAAGAACATATGTATTTTATCCTATTGTAAAGTTTACCTTTATTGCTCCTTGGTACTTTTTCTTCTTGGTTCTTCAGTTTGGAAGTTAATTTAAAATAGTTGTCGAGCGTTTTGGGCATTAAGCTTTGTTTTGTTCCAACTTTCCTGGGTGAACCTGAAAACTTCCTTGGGGACCACTCTTTTTTGGGAGACTGTTTCTCTACAACAGCAAATTTATACATAAACTTACAACTGGAAAACATTAGCGTTCATATTACAAGGAGAACTCTTTTCCTTAATATAAATCTGCTATTTCCAAAGGAATCTATCTCGAAAGAGGCTGCACTTGGCCTTTGAGAAGCACACTGAGGGCCACATCCTAAGAGGTACATAGGGCTGAGCTGAATTAGTTGTAATTATTGTTAAAATTAAACGTAGCTCAGGGATGGTGCTGTTAGGGTTTTTTTGTTTGGGGGTGGGTGGTGGTGGTGAGAAATGAGGTTGTGCTTTCAAGTCAGGGTTGATTCCTGGCAACCGCCTGCACAAGTGCCTGCAGGTTTTTTGGCAAGATTATCAGAACTATTTTGTCAGTGCCTTCTCCTTCCTAGGGCTAAGAGTCACTCAGCTGGTTCTATCATTAAAGCAGAATTAGAACTTGGAGTCTCCTGATTTCTAATTGACACTAGTGCCTGTAACCACCACACTAAACTGGCTCTCTGCTTGGTTTAATGATATTTAGCATGACTCTACATGTGTTGATAGCAGAGTGAGTTTGATCTAGTGATCAAGGGCCGGTAAGTCTGTTTTTCGCCCTCCCCAGGCTCCAGAGGCTTTCTAGGAGCTTGGTGAGGGTGAAAACGGCCTCCCTGTCCCCCCGGAGGCCAGAGACAGCCCGTTTTCCGACTTCTAGTAGGTATGTTTTTCGTCTTCCCCAGGCTTCAGGGACTTTCTAGGAGACTGCGGAGGATGAAAAACGACCCAACACGCAAACCGGAAGTTCACTTCCAGTTTGCGCATTGGGCTATTTTTCATCCTCCCCATGGGCACACATGCTGACAGGGCAACGCCTTGTGTGCCCTCAGAAATGGCTCTGTGTGCCACCTGTTCACCATCATGGGATTAAGGCATTGGGCTAGAAACCAGGAGATTGTGAGTTCTAGTCTTGCCTTAGGCATGAAAGTTAACTGGGTGATTTGGGGAAGTCCCTCTCTCTGACATCACCTCACAGGGTTGTTGTTGGAGGAGGAGGAAGGGGTATAGGTATGTTCACTGCCTTGAGCTATTTATAAATAGCTCTGTTTTCGGCTGCCACAGCCTCCTACAAACCACTGCCAGTGAAAACAGAGCTCGGGAGCCCATTTTTGCTGGCAGAAGCATTGAGGGCCAGTCCTTCATTGTTTCCAGGGTGGCCCCACAAGCCGGGCCGGTTCCGGCCTCCAGGACTTGAGTTTGACAGCCCTGGTGTAGTGCAACAGAGATAAATGGTAATTGATCAGGTAAGACTGAAATCGTCCCTCTCTAAATATACAGCTATAACACAGTTATTTTATGTCAAATAACAATTGTAATTGCTCCATCCTTTCCTTTTAATGACTGTGCAAAAGAAGAAGAAGAAGAAATATCTTACTTGGAGACTTAGTGCTGCTGTAATGGTTAAAGAAGCACGGCTTATGAGCATGTACACCTTGTTTGTTCACCTGGTGAGACTGAGTAGCTTCTTTTAATTGTGAGAGAATCTGCCTTCCGCTGCGTTGGCAAGAAGCATTCACTTCAAATATCTGCAAGGTAATGGTAAAGAACAGATAAGTTCATAACACAACGGCATAACACCCTTCTACTCTATTTGCCACTAGCACAAACCTTGAAGCCAAGCTCCTGTGCGCAAGCGTAGACGGCTGCCGTCTTCCCTATCCCCGGGGGTCCAATGAGCAACATGGTGTTGCACAAAACGTTCTCTTCATCGCTGACTGATGTGTCGTCTACGAAGTCCAGATGCTCCGAGGAGTCTGTCCAGTTACAGAACGGCACAGGCAATAAAATCAGTCCTTAACTTGAGCATGTAACCCTGGACCGTTTTTTAATTCTTGGATTCATTATCCATATTCATTTCATAATGTATGTCCTAACATTCCATGAGAAAAAATGAAAGGTAGGAGGAAACAAAACCCTCCACAGATCAAATTAATCAACAATCTTTTACACCAAATGTATACCCCTTCTAGGCTCTTGCTATAGCTCGCATTAACAATTACAGTAAGCCTGATACATTTTATTTTAAAGAATGGGGAAAGTTTCCAATATACCATCTTTGCTGCCATTCTTCTTTTCTTTTTGTGTCCTGTTTTCTTCCCAACTGGCTTTTCTCTTCCATTCACACAGCCATCTAATAAAAATAAAGAGAATGCCACGTTCATCATCATCCACAGCAATACAGGTAGTCAGTCCTCCACTTACAATAGTACGTTTAGTGACCGTTCGAAGTTACGATGACACTGGAAAAAGTGACTTATTCCCATTTTTCACATTTACGACCACTGCAGTATCCCCATGGTTATGTGACCCGAATCTGGACACTTTAGCAGCTGACTCATATTTATGATGGTTGCAGTGTCCCAGGGTCATGTGATCCCCTTCTGCGAACTTCTGACAAGCGAAGTCAATGGGGAAACCAGATTTAATTTAAACAACTGCAGCGATTCATAAACAAATGTGGCAAGAAAAGTTGTAAAATGGGGCAAAACTCACTTCACAATTTTTTCACTTAGCAACATAAATCTTGGGCTCAATTGTGGTCATAGCTTGAGGGTACCATGTACATTCTTATTTTAAACCCTCCAGTTTCTAAAAGGCTGTATGGGTGGATGGATATTGACAGATAGATATTGATAGATAAATGATACAGTGAGAGAACCAGGTATAACAACTATTGCAGTGAGGGCAAACCTTTTTGGCACTGAGGGCACGCAGGTATGCTCCTTGGGGCTGCTTCCCAGGGGGCATGTCTTCCGGTTACTTGTGCGTATGCACATACGACAATCAGCTGGCCAGCGCACATGCTCATGCTGGAGAATGGAAGACCAGCGCTTCCAGTTTCCGGCACTGCCGCATGCAGGAAGGCCAGCTGATCGTCGTGTGCACATGCGTACCAGAAACCTGGAAAAGGGACAGGCAGAGACATGGGTGCCAGGCGACATGGCTCCGCATGCCACTTTAGGCACGCATGCCATAGGTTCCCCATCACGGAAATATTGTAATTGCTTGGTGGAATACCCTTGAGGCAGGAGGAGAAAGAACCATAGCCAATACAACGCTCTGAATAGCAACTTCTGTCAACAGAAAGAATGGAAGAGTAGTAAACCTCTCAAGAGAGACCCTCCCTGAAAAGAAAAGGCAAGTGGGGAGAGATGGGCTCTCAGACTTGCAGGAGTCTGTTATGACAAATAGAAAGTAAAAGTAGCGTTAGTACTCATGGTATTGGTTTCTTGTCTTGACCACCTCGAAGGGCTGACTATCATTTATATTTTTTTAAAAAGTGATTTCTGACCTATGTAGCTTTTTAATTGCTTCGATGTTGCCTATAAGTTCACTGGAGTTTTGTGGCTGGTATTTTTCGGTCCAAAGCGTATCTTCACCTGCAAAATCTGTAGGCATGAAAATAAAGTTACTTGTTTTAAGATGCCTCATGCATTTATTACATCAAAACCTAGCACTTCTCTAGCTCAAGTAAAGGTTTGAATTCTAATCATTAAAGTTAATATATCGTTGCTCTAACAAGCACACTGCATTCTGACATTATACCAAGCGTCACGACTTGAAGTTTCATTCTGTCTTCAATTAATCAAAGTTTAATATCTGAATCTAAAACAGCAGTTAATTTTAGCTATCACTTTAAACAAATCAGATTCATGAAACAGATAGCAATTTTCTTCTTTCGATAAGAAATAGTGAATATTAACAAGAGGTTTTCAGAGAAAAGGACAAGTTTGATTAATCTAAATTCATAAATTATTGAAAGTGTAGATTAACTGAGATAGCACAATTTAAAATTGCTTAAGATTTATAACTAAATAAATAATTAAAATGGCAGCATCGTAGATTCAACATTATACTGCTGTAGCAGAAGGAATGTCTGGGAATTGATTGTTAATTATCTTCCTAGTTTGCTGTTCATTTTATACTTTCCCATTACAATTCTCTGGAGCATGCAGTGCATTAGCCAATTTAGGTCTCATCAATCTCTTCAATAATGAAGTTTTCTATACAAGCAGTCCTCGACTTACAGCCATTCATTTAGCGACTTAGAACCGCTGATCACTGTAGTATCCCCATAGTCAGGTGATCAAAATTCAGACGCTTGGCAACTGGCATGAATTTATGTGCTCCAGGACCACATGATCAGCTCTGACAAACCAAGTCAACGAGGAAGCCAGATTCACTTAACAATTGCAATTGCAATGATTCACTTAACAACTATGGCTAGAAAAGTCATACAATGTGGAAAAATTCACTTAAAAGCTATCTTGTTCAACAATGGACATTTTGGGGTCAATTATGGTCCTAAGTCAAGGACTACCTTTAATATATTTCTGGTTGAAAAAAACAAGGGAAGTTCTAGCTTTATGAATTACACAGGGATCCGAGTCTGTCATCTGCACCTCTATAACTGGTATGGCTCTGCAACCCAACAAGGCAGACACAGACTTCAGAGGATAATCAGACTGCAGAAAGAACAATTACTGTCAACCTGCCTTCTATTGAGGCACTGCACGAGTCCAAAAGAGGGCCGTGAAAATATTTACAGACCCCTCACATCCTGGACATAAATTGTTTCAACTCCTACCCACAAAATGACGCTATAGAGCACTGCACACCAAGACAACTAGACACAAGAACAGTTTTTTCCTGAACATCATCACTCTGCTAAACAAATTATTCCC